AATTAATTAATTAATTAATTAATTAATTAATTAGATATGGGGACCAGCTCACTCTCAGTGACTCCAGGCAGTTTACAATAATAAAAACCCAGCAATTTTTCCTACTATCTTCTTTTCTATGATATCAATGTTGCTTTTTGAATATTTGCTAATTTAAAGCCATAATTGGCAGAATTTAAAAAAGATACTATACTGAAATAGATTTACAGATTTCTGCAACAATGATCCAACTGCAGTCCCACAAATCTGTTCAGCTGCAATCCTAGAAAGTATTTTATTTTTTCACTTTCTATATTTATTGAATTATTTAGGGATCATTCATTTTAGGAGGACTTTTTTATTTTAAAATTGTGGTTATAAGGAATTATAATAAGCATAAATCATATGGCTAGAAATCTAAACTTTGTAAGCTGCAAAGAAATAAAAAATATCCTTAAAAAGTACATGTGAATAAAGCCATTTTGAATTGAAAATATTGTTTATGGAAAATTGTCAAATTCATAAGGAAATAAACTTTTAATGTGGACTATCATGATTGCAGTTAGCAGGCATATATTATTTAGTTAGCATATATTATTTGATTTGCGGGTATACTACCAAATCAGTATAGACTTAGGGCAATTTACAAAACAATCTAACAAATATCTGCTTTTGAAATCATATGATTATACAATGTTGCCTAACACCATGCTTTGGTTTGAGGGAAACACGTCGCACATTACATAATTCTTAGGTTGAGTAAATATCTTTTTTGCAATACCAATTTGATGAGTAGTTGAAAAATAGTAGAGACTCAAATATTTGTAGATTAAAAATACTGTCAGTGAAGTAGACATGACAGAAAAGATCACTAGCTGTTCAAAGCCTTGTGCAAAAGCACTTTTGTCAGCATATTTTGTACAAAGTCTTTATTGTATGCACTATTATATGCATGTTAAAATCCTATTATAGCAAAATCATATAGTAAAGTTGCTTACTATATGCAAATTCAGAACACTTCACTGTTCGTGATATGAAACCTGCAGTTGAAACTTTCTGCTTCACTATGCTATGCAAATAAGTATCAAAGACAGCTTGATGTATGAATGGATTATAAAATACCTTCCTGGGCAGTTAAGAAGAAATCAAGCAAGAAAATACCTGTCTGGAGTTTAAGATAATAGGGCTCCATCTAAGATAATGGGACCTATCTTTCACAATGGAAGATTTCCACTGTTGACGGTTCCTTGTGAAACCATAATAGTGGTTTGTGTCAGTCCTTCAGAGTTGCATCATCAGAGCTTTTCTTTCAATCAAGACCTTCATTTTTTTTCTACTTTTTTTGTAATTTCATTGAAACAATAATATGTTAATGATTTTTAGAATGGGAAGTGATTATTAATTTTCTCAAAATCAAGGAAAAATAGGTATATTTAGTTTTAGTTTAGTTTTATCTGTTATATCTTTCAGTTTAGTTACAGATAGAAAAGTGTAAACATTTCTTACTATATGTATGAATTCTTTCTAGTAAAGATCACTAACAGTATTTGAAAAATGAAATGGTAATAAGAGGAAGTGTAACTGGACAGCGGAGGAAAAGGAGAAAAAGGAAGTCATCCTGGTGCCAACAAGGACTAAATTTACAAGGCAGACATTTACACATTCCAGAGGTCTGCAACTAGTTGTAGTTCCTGATTCTTAGCTGTCACTGTTCTGTTTAATAGCAAATGTAAGGGTTCTCCAAGCCTCAGTCACCTACAGTTCCCCAAAGATGGGCTCCAGCATGAATCCGAAAGCTCAGAAGACAAAATCTCTGGTCCCAATGACCAAACCAGATTGGATCCTGTTAGTATCTTAGTTTTATTGTATGTTTGCAGACTGGGATTGATTTAATTTTTAAATGTGGTTGTTCACTAAATGAGGCAAAAACATGGTAATTTCATAAGTCTACAGCATTCTGTTTTCTATTCCATTTCAGAAGGAAGAGGGAAGTAAAAATGTGCGCTTAGGTACACTAATTGGTTTGCTAGTAGAAGAAGGACAAGACTGGAAGCAAGTTGATATACCAAGTGATGCATCCTCTGAGCCTGTGACATCATCAGCATCAACAGCCTCTTCCCCAACTCTCCCATTAGCTCATAAAATAGAAGAGCACCATGGAAAAGAACAGTAAGTTTCTAGGTATCTCATGGACTGATGTATTTCAGTATATATTTCTACTGAATCTTCTACAGAATTTTGTATTCGTATGAGAAACTAGATTGTTCCTGGTGCATAAAAATATCTATCTTAATATCCTACTCTAAAAGTGGCAGAATAATAAGGAAATAGAGTTTATATCTTAGCCTAACTTCTCACAACAATTTGTACTTTGAATTCTAATAATAGAATTTATGGAAACCTCAAAAATTCTAATTTCAGTCCATTTATTCTTAGTGATACTAGCAGTGCTATAGTAGTAACTACAGCTCTAAAAATTATACTTCCCTGTGCATTATCAATGGTATAGAAATAGTAAATGAAATAAGTGGAAAGAAGTCTTTACATCAGTACCTTTTTTGGTGCAAAACTTTATTTATTTACAGTGTTTTTAGAACACTGACTCCAATAAACTCACTGTCAAAACAATCGATATATCAATAGTCAATTTGCTGTATCCATACAAATCCATACAATCCACAAAAAACAATAAAATATTCCAGCAGCACAAATTTACCCCTAGTATCAGTATTATTGTTGTGTGTTAGATAGCAAAGGCCTCAAAATGTTCAGTCATGACTGCCATACAAAATTCAACAAGCGGTAGCATCATTTTCATCTCCAAGGCAAGGTGTTCCATATCAGGGGCATAGATGCAATACATCTTTTCCTATATAATTTACTATTGATGTATTGGTTGTCTTAACATTTCAATGAATGGCAATATAAGAATGGTATTTTTTTTAAAACTAAATAGACCTGGTTGTGGACAAGGTAAATTAAAACATGCTAATGCAAAGATTCCAGAGAATTTTTAAAAAGTACCATATTTTTCAGAGTATAAGACGCATCTTTCCCCCCAAAAAAGACGGTGAAAATCTGGATGCATCTTATACACCAAATACAGCTATTTTTGGCCTTCCAAAACCCTGCCCCGCACATCCTGTCTTTTGCAAAAATGGACATGCAGAGGGTTTGGGAGGCCTACAAAGTGCTCCTAGGAGCTGGGGAGGGCCAAAACGACTGAAAACAGGTCAGTTTTTCATATAAACTGTGTTTTTGCCCTTCCCAGCCCCCAGGAGCACTCTACAGTTCTCCCAAACTCTCTATACATTCTGGGTTTGTTTGTTGTTTTGGTTTTTTTGGGGGGGGTGTTGGTTTTTGTTTTGTTTTTTTGCAAAAAATGGGACAGTTCTTGCTTGTTTTTGGTCTCCCCCAAGAGCACTCTACAGGCCTCCCAAATCCCCTGCATGCCCCATTTTTGTGAAAAACTGCCCCGTTTTTGTAAAAATGGCCCATTTTTCACTTCCCAATACCACCACTCCCACGCATCACATTTGTGCCCTCTTCGGCCCCTAGGAACACTTTGCAGGCCTACCAAACTCTCTGCACACCCTGTTTTTCACACACACACAATTCTTTTTAATGTACCGCTTCAAAATCTTGGTGCGTCTTATATTCCGGTGCATCTTTTAGTCCGAAAAATATGATGCCTAATATTTTATCCTACACACTTCTAATCCATATTACTTAATTCTTTCTTAATTTTAACTCATAGGATGTCGCTAATATATCCCAATTTGATATTTTTCCATTTAGTTAAAAATGTTAATAGGTTTCAGTTTTTGGCTACAGTAGTATCTTTTTTTTAAGTTGCCAAATAACATTATAGTTTATTAAACAGTGAAATGAAATGGATAAAGTATTTTTTCATTTGTACGTAATTCCATTGAATATGTAACGGATGAAACAATAATTGGAGCAAATTGTTATCAGTTCAGGGTTTATTACTTTAAAAGCAAATATAACATACTTGCAATAAAGCAGCATTTTCTTTGAAGATGTGTTAAACTGTCTTACCATCCTGATAATTATCATGTTGACCAGAGTTAATGGAATTGTATACCAACACATCTGGAAACCAGATTTTGAGTGGGAAGGAGGGTCGGTTTGTGTCTGCAAAGAGTTGTTAAATATGTTTCTTGTTGGCTATTGCTTCTCTAGATAAATTATTTTTACTTTTTAGAGGTTATTGTGGAAGCCTTGTATCACTAATAATCAGAATTGTTTTGGCATTTAAATTTTAGGAAAATTAAATATGGTATATATATATATTTATTTAATAAATTCTGAGTTACTTTTTTGTATGTACCCTTTTAATACAGTTGTACCTTTGCTTTTTAGGTTTCGCTTAAGTCCTGCTGCCCGTAACATTTTGGAAACACATGGACTTGATGCAAGTCATTGCACACCCTCGGGACCTCGAGGAATTTTCACAAAAGAGTATGTGAAATTTCAACTTTTTCTTTATGTATCATATTCTGTAAAACACGTTTCTTCTAATTTTTGTAAGAATCAACTATACCAGTTGATATCTTACTTTCCTAGAAAATGGAACTTTGTATTAGTTGTAATACAGTCACAAACAGAAAGGAATATGGGGATGAAGGAATCAGTTTGTCAGTTGAAACTATGAAGACAGTGATATAGAAGTGCCATGACAGTATTTTAAGTTACACACTGAGTAAAACCTTATGGTGAATCAAATGTGTACAGAAATAATAGAATCTAGATCAGTGGTAGTCAACCTTTTTATACCTACCGCCCACTTTTTTTTATCTTTGTTAGCAGTAAAATTTTCTAAACNGAAATTTTGTCTGGGAAGTTTAAGAGCAGGCTCACGGCTCTAACTGGAAAGAATACCTTTCTTTTAAAAAGAAAAAAAGGAAAGAAAAAACAAAACAGCCACCAATTCTTCCTTTCTTTCTCTTTCTCTCTCTCTCTCTCTCTCTGTCTGTCTCTCTGTGTGTGTGTGGCTCTTTGTCTTTCCCCTCCCTTCCTCCCTCTCTGTCTCTCTCTGTAATTCTCTTTCTGTATCTCTCTGTCTTTCCCCTCCCTTCCTCGCTCTCTGTCTCTGTCTCTCTGTCTCTTTCCTCCCTCCCCCATCTCTCTCTCTTTGTGCCTCTTTCTGTCTCTCTCTCTCACTCATACACAGACACACACAGACACACAGACACATACTCATATCCTGTTCTTTGGCTGCTGCACAAGCCCACGTGGCATGCGCTGCCCCCTTCTGACAGTTGTCTCGTTTCCAATGGAGGGGGTGCGGAATGCATGCGTTTTCCTCCCTCTGCATGGATTTCCCACCCCCTATTGGTCCTGCTATTGCTGCAGCTGCTTTTGCTGACTCCAGCATGGCAGTGGGACTCTTGCCATCAGTTTAGTGGCCCACCTTCTTTGCTCAGGCAGGCGGAGGAAGAAAGGAGGCTTGTGATAAAGCACCCCTGCCACCAAGGGCGAAGGGGAGCACCTTCACCCTCGACTATTGCATGCCTCCTTTCTTCACCCGCCCAAACTAGCAAAGAAGGCAGGCCACTAAACCGATGGCAAGAGTCCCACCTCCATGCTGGAGTCAGCAAAAGCAGCTCCAGCAATAATAGGACCAATGCTCCCCCCCACCGCCCGATGCTATCTCCTTTCATTCTCCATCTGTCTCATTCGGGCAGGGGGGGCTTTCTCACACGCCGCTAAACCGTCCGCTTGCTCGCATTCAAACAAGCCCCCCCCCCTGTCTTTTGGCATAGGCTCTCTGGAGGGAGAGGGAGAGTAAAAACAGAAATTTTTACAGTGGCGCAGAAACAGTCCCAGGCACTCAGTTCCAGCTCTCCCTTCCCCAAGCATGTCCCGTTGCTGCTTGAACCACTTTGCTGAATCCGGTGCTGCGGCGGGACTCTTGCCATCGCTGAGAGCTTCGCTGGCAGCCGCTTCTTGCCTTCGGNGTAGGGACCAGGTTAACTACCACTGATCTAGATGGAAAAGATAGGGGGAGAAAGGGTGAACCAGTGTTTTTCAAACTTGATATCTTTAAGATTCAAGACGTAAGACTTAAACAGCTTACAAAGCTGAGCAACTACTGTACCATGCCAAAATTAAGTTTAACAGTGGTTTGGCAGAATTCAGGGAACAGAAGAAAACTATCATCAAAGAGATGGATGCTCCCTATGGACTATTCAAATCCACAAATCAAGTGGTCAGTTGCAATGTATTTGGAAGAGCAAGAGTTATTACCAGGGACAAGCAGGCATCTTCCAATACAGTTACCAAAGGTCAGGTCTAATCAGCGACATCAGACTAAAGTTATACAGAATAAAGAAATTACACAAACATTTAAAGCAGCTGATTTTTGTTGAAAAATGGATACTTCAAGATTGAGGATCGAAAGTTTTTCTTCCATCCAGCTCCTCAATGGCTGGCACAATTGCGAAAATGCTGTGCTTTTAAAGGTGCTATTAAATCAGTTCAGTTTCTGATTCTATTTATAGAATGGTGGGGCCATTTACACAACCAAGTGATTCTATCAGGTTGCATTGCTCCTACTTGCACTGAAATTAATTGAAAGATACTTTGGAATGATGGAGCTGGTTGGAGCTGTGTATCATAGAGACTCCTTGGTAATAAAAGATTTTAGATCTTAAGCAAGAATCCTTATCCAGCATTTTCTAAATCAGTTACAGTAGTTGATATTACTGTGCTTAAATTTATTGATATTTGTTTCATAACTGAAACTAATTCTATTAATAAATGAACTGCCTTTGGTAACAGAGCACTTAAATATTGCTAACTTCTCAGATATAATGGGAAGCCATCTGCTAAGACAGCACTGATACTGAAATGGCATAGTAGAGCTTTGGATTAAAAACAAATAAATACAACTTTGATTTTGTTCTTGTTATAACCTGATTTAGACGGAAAAGTAAACTGAATACATAATACCTCACATGTAACAGTAATTATGAGGAATCTTAGTAATTGTAAAAACATAAATTAATTTATAGTATATCATTAATTCATGCCAGATGGGAAACTTCTGTAGGTTACTGAGATACCTACAGTAATTAATTTTCTCTAGTAGCCATGGACATGTTACACAGGTTTTTGTACAAGGTCAATAAAACAATAAGCAATGGACTATTTGATGCTGTAGGTTTTTTCCCCCAAGTCTGAGAACTGCAGGTGGCAGCAAAACACAATTTTCAGTAAAACTTTATTATAGTAAAAGGCACACTACAGTGCTGAATCTCACAAATTACAATTTTTCATAAAAGTTATATTTCACACAGAGCACATATTTCAACAAATTTGTGATATTGAATTTTACACATTTCTCAATTCTGGGGTTTTGTTTTGGGGAAGAGATCTCTGCTATAAAATGGTGTTTTAAAAAGCCTCCTAGAATCAAAATTGGTAAATAAATTTGCATTTATTGTGTTCATTATTGTGAACTTTACCTATTAATAATGGCATGTCCTGAGAACATAGACGACTGCATTTTGTGTTTTTCCGAATTGGCAAAATGAAATGAGGAATTACTGATGATGAAATTCATATTTAAATGAAGTCATTGGAAAAAACCCTCATTGATTTTAATAGAGCAGTTGTGTTACAGTAATTCATAACTAAAGTCCTAGATCAGTGATGGGCAACCTTTTTGGCGTGGTGTGTCAAAAATCGGCAAAAAATCGAGCATAACTTGCGTT